TACATGACAACGTACCATTTTCGGCCATCCTTGGATAGAGATCTCTTGAGCTCGGATGTCCTGTTATATTGAAAGAAATATTAGTATTAGTTACATTGTTAATAAACGATTGTAATTCTACACATAACATCACTCTAATAGTAGATGTAAATAAGATTGTAGTAATAAAAGCAGGAAGTTGCTGACTAGTCAATAAGTGGCTGCGTGTACGGGTAACTTATTATATACTTACAACGTTACTCAGTCTAGTTAGGGTCATTCCGAATTGGACATCCACTGTGTCGATAGGCATGTCGCTAGGTGTCGCCACCGGTCGGACATCTTTGTTGTAGCCATCGAAGAGTTCATCAAACAGTTTTGCTTCCTCTGGGCTCCCCTGAACGGCAACTAAACACAAAAATACGAGGTTCTTGATAGAGGCCGAGTTAAGTCGAGATAGATGGTTTAGTATAGTTTTGCAATAATGTGTGCGAACACGACATACACGGGTGCGGTTACAGGAGTCAATGATAGAAGCGCTACTATAACAACGAACAACTGAAGGAGGAGCTGGTAATAACAAACATACATATCTGCTAAACACGCACNTATTTAATAGTAAATGATCAATTATCAATGTTAAATACTCGTTAATCAATGAGTGAATCGATATCTGTATTTCTATAGATGCGTACATTCACGTTTTCTTTAAATTTGTGCGTGCGTGCCTGTTCATGCGTGTGCGTGCGTGCGTGCGTGCATGTGCATGCGTGTGCGTGCGTGCGTGCATGTGCATGCGTGTGCGTGCGTGAGTGCCTGTGCATGCGTGTGCGTGCGTGCGTGCATGTGCATGCGTGTGTGTGCGTGCGAGCATGGGCATGCGTGTGCGTGCGTGCGTGCGTGCATGTGCATGCGTGTGCGTGCGTGCGTGCATGTGCATGCGTGTGCGTGCGTGCATGTGCGTGCGTGTGCGTGCGTGCGTGCATGTGCATGAGTGTGCGTGCGTGCGTGCATGTGCGTGCGTGTGCGTGCGTGCATGTGCATGCGTGTGCGTGCGTGCATGTGCAGGACTGCGCGTGTGTGCGTGCATGTGCATGCGTGTGTGTGCGTGCATGTGCATGCGTGTGCGTGCGTGCGTGCATGAGTGTGCGTGCGTGCGTGCATGTGCATGCGTGTGCGTGCGTGCATGTGCATTCGTGTGCGTGCGTGCGTGCATGTGCATGCGTGTGCGTGCGTGCGTGTGTGCGCGTGCGTGCGTGCATGTGCATGCGTGTGTGCGTGCGTGTGCGTGCGTGTGTGCGTGCATGTGCATGTGTGTGTGTGCGTGCATGTGCATGCGTGTGCGTGCGTGCATGTGCATGCGTGTGCGTGCGTGCGTGCATGTGCATGCGTGTGCGTGCGTGCGTGCATGTGTATGCGTGTGCGTGCGTGCATGTGTATGCGTGTGCGTGCGTGCATGCATGTGCATGCGTGTGCGTGCGTGCGTGCATGTGCATGCGTGTGCGTGCGTGCATGTGCATGAGTGTGCNAATTTGGTGGGTGCCCGCCACGGTGTAAGACTTTTTTAAACATTTGTGAACGCTATATCAGAAGTTTTCTTCTTAATTTCTCTTGAATTGAAGTGTCCTGCAAAAGTTATGACATTTTTCACTCGTGATATTCAAAATTACTTGTGATTTTTCTACAACGCACTGCTAACCCAGTGAGAAGGACACACCGGTGGAAGGGCTTGCTGTCTATCTATGGAAGGGTAATGCTGCCAGAAATATATATTCATGTATTCAAACCAGGGTTGCGTGAAAGCATTGTCAAAATAAATGAAGAAAGTCGGTAACTTCAAAGTCATAGACAACAACAGAGAATGCTGGCATTAGATTTTGCAGTGTTATATTATATAATATCAACTCACGAGTACACTCACAGATTTCAATCTTCATTAAGTCTTCATTATAACTCATTACAGTGCACAAAACAAGGTTCTAAGCTGGCACTATGAACCGCTGCACAGAGAACCGTTACATACACATAGCCACACAACGCGCAGCACTATACATAACATAGTGTATATGATGATTGCACCAGCCGACTTAACAACGTGCTCAATGTTGAGCGTACCCTACACAGGTAGATTCCATCATTCCGCTACAGGTGTGTTGCACAGATACAACTAGCAGGTATAGACCACCACTGTCTTACACAGGTGTACGCATTTTTAACGCCACACCCGTTCCACCATCCAGTAACTTATAACAGGGAAATGTATATGCGTAATACGCACAATTAAAAATAAAAAATAATTAATTAAAAGGCAGGTAAATTCCATCACTCCGCTACAGGTGTGTTGCACAGATACAACTAGCAGGTATAGACCACCACTGTCTTACACAGGTGTACGCATTTTTAACGCCACACCCACGTTGCACCATCCAGTAACTTATGACAAGGAAATGTATATGCGTAATACGCACAATAAAAAATAAAAAATAATTAATTAAAAGGCAGGTAAATTCCATCACTCCGCTACAGGTGTGTTGCACAGATACAACCTGCAGGTATAGACCACCACTGTCTTACACAGGTGTACGCATTTTTAACGCCACACCCGTTCCACCATCCAGTAACTTATCACAGTGCAATGTAGGCTTAATACGCACAATAAAAAATAAAAAATAAAAATAGATAGTAAAATTACTGCCAGGTTGAGAATAGAAGTAAAAATGTTACAATACAAATAAATACAAGACAACAAACGGTAACGTTGATTGTGTTCACGCTAGCATATCAACTCCTTTTACTAAGTATTTCACGTAATTCAGTTGTCAGTTGTGTGTTCTGTTGTCAGTAAACTTTTGAATTCTACTATATAGCCTATAGTAAAATCCATAACAATTCC